TTTAGATGCAGAAATAAAGTTTAATCCTTATTGGGTATTGGAGTTGGCATAAGATTCCAAATAACCAAAATCTTATTATATATTCTGCAATAGAATAGAACCTATTGACTAGAAGGTCTACCTGACCACACTTGTTTGAATACCATATCATACTGTTAGTGTGTTTGTTTTGATAGTATAATTCTTTCCATATTTTAATTAAAATAACTTCTGAAAAGTTCAAAGAATTTCTTGGAGAATACCATACAATAATAATAAGGAATAAAGTACCTATACTAATACCATGAAAATATATTTTTCAAGTAGGTATGCTTATAAGGGTGTTTTAGTTATTTCTAGTTATTATTATATTATTTTACATTTGTGGGCATGCTCACTACCTATGTTTGCATATTATCTGATTGGTTAGAAAATTAAAGGGTGCAAGCCAGGAGCTGGTGGCTGATACCTGTAATCCTAGCTACTCAAGAGGCTGAGATTTGAGGATCATGGTTCAAAGCCAGCCCGGGCAGGAAAGCCTGTGAGACTCTTATCTCCCATAAACCACTCAGAAAACTGGAAGTGGCACTGTGGATCAAGTGTTAGAGCACTCGTGCCTTGAGCTGAGGAGCAGAGGGACAGGAGCCAGGCCCAGAGTTCAAGCCCCATGACCGACAAAAAAAATATTAAAAGGTACAGACATAGAATGTCCATATGAGTAGGCTTAGAATAATCATCAGGTTGAAATATCAATAGTTGTTTTATTTTATTTTATTCTGGTTTAAGGATTGAACTTGGGAATTTGGGCTTTTGCTTGAATGGTGCTCTACCATGGAAACCGTGTCTCCAGTCCAGAATTTTGTTATTTAATTAGAGATAAATTTCTCAAGGACATTTCTACTTCAGTGATTTTGAACTGCAACATTCTGATTGCAGCTTCACCAGTACCTAGGGTAAAAAGTGTGAGCCACTAGTGCATGGCTCTCAGAGTTGTTTTTGAAATTATGTTTTCATAGCAGATGAAAACATAATGTTCCAGACTGTTTATCAGGAATGACTTCAGTGCTGAAGAGAATGTGGAGCTCTTTAAAAGCTACATATCCACAGCAAGCCCAATATTGCCTTGCTGGTATACTTACTAGAGCTTTGAGTATGTTGATGGAGACAGATGTGAAGATAAAATTCATCTGGTTCTTGTCACCACTGTAGATAGATTCTATTCAAGATTTAGTTAGGGCTTTTATTTTAAGCCACATTTGCTTAAAATACAGTGTTTAGGCATGTGAAGGTTTCAAATGTTGCCTATTTCACTCACCACCACTAATTCCTAGACTTGGAATCAATCTTCCTTTTTCAGAAATAAGGTGTTCAAAATGTAGCGAGAGAATTACAAATGTCATATCAGAGTTATGTGTGTGCTGTGATTTCTTTCCTAAGACAAGATCTGTAATGTTTGCTCACTTTATGTTTGGATGCTTAAACAAGCCTAAGATTTTCTAACTCTGTACTCAATGCAATGCATTTAGTTTCCCTCCCTCCTCCCAAAGTTTTGAAAGGCATTGTTGGCTTTTCAAAGGGGGCAGTAATGTTCATTAGAAAATAAGGGTAGGTTTTGTATTAAAGTGATATCCACCCTCCATCTGATTTGTTTTCAAGTCATTCTGTCCCCCAAAAGTTCCTCACTTATTACATATGCTTAATACCTAAGATGTCTCAATCTTTGTTAAAATTTACCATAATGAAAATGGTATCTGATAGACATGGCAATGTGTATACTAGCTTTGCACACTCAGATTTATAAAGTTTGTTTATATATAGCTGTCCTGGGATTTATATTTATAATATGTAACATTGTATATCAAGCAACTAAGAATGACTGAGGGCACAGACTCTCCTAATATTTTTGGTTTAATTTAGTTTCCAAATGCTATTAATTAGTCAGTATTCTGACTAATTAATTAATTTAGTAGATCTAAACACAAGGCCAAATTTAGTACAAAGGTGTTTTTTTACAGTGAAGTCAGCTATTAGATTTTATTAATCAGCATTTCTCTTGAATTCCAGACAATCTTAGTTTCATTTTAATTAATTACTTAAGTAATATTTTTGATGCTTTGGAGACTTGAACTTGTAATCATAAACTTTATAGACCATGATGATGACAATTTGCCTTGTGAAGGTTAAAATGTGTTTGTGACTTTAACTAAGTATCACTATTCAATAATACTGTGAAATATGTGAGATTTATGTAATCACCTAATCTTAATTAAAAAAGAAAAGAAAAGAAAAGTGAGAGAAGGGATGGGGTAGGAGTGATGGGTGACAATGGTGTCAGACACTTAGTACTCTTATACTGTTTTGTAGAATGGGAACTTCTTTGTACAACTACTTAAAGATAGTAAAATTTTAAAAAGTAAGTAATATTTTTGATGCTTTGGGGACTTGAACTAGTTATCATGTATTTGCTTTCTAAGCAGGCATGCTGCTGCTGGAGCCACAGCTGTTTTCTTTTCTTTTTTTTTTAAACATATTTTTTTCAGATTAGTTCTGACTCCTATTTTGTCTACTTATTCCATTCAGTACATGGTATCATTTTTTAAAAAGTGCCATCATTTTCAGCTTGTTTGCTGAGATAGAAGTATTTCCAACCCGTGGCTAGGAAGATGGCTCAGTGGTAGAGCGCTTGCGTTGCATGCATGAGGCCCTGGGTTCAATTCCTCAGCACCACATAAGCAAAAAGAAAAAAAAAGCCGAAGTGGCACTGTGGCTCAAGTGGTAGAGCGCTAGCCTTGAGCTCAAGGGCTGAGGGACAGCACCCAGGCCCAGAGTTCAGGCCCTATGACTGGACCCCCCCCCCCCCCGAAAAAAAAAAGAAGTATTTCCAACTCTGCCAGGCTGGTCTAAATACAACCCCGCCTTGATCTCTAGTTCTCATGTGGCTGGTAGTACAGTCATGCATATCTGTGGACAGATGTAAAAAGTAACATAAGATCTCAGAGTTTTCCATTCAGCTGTCATGATTAGAATTATAGGTACACATTCTATGAAGTCTGAATCCCTATAAGTGTTCTTATTTATCATAAGCAAAGGACGTGTGAGATGTGAACATAGTGTCCTCTTAGCCCTTTAATAAGTAGGGAATATACAGCTGGAACTCATTTTGCACTTTACAATTTTTTCCTGCCAAGATCTCTAACCATTAAATTTATGATCAGACGGTGGACATATTCAGTGCACTTCACAATCTATTATTACTTGTTTTCCAAACTTTTTAACTTCTTCCAAAACCTTTGAAGATGTTTTAAATAGTCAATTCTTTCTGTTAAGATTTGTTAAAATGTATAAACAAAAATGCCAGTTTTTCTCCTCTAAGTTAGAATTCACATGGGTAGAGAGAGGGTAAGAGAGAGAGAAACAGAGAGACAGAAGGATAATATGGGCATCTAATTAATTTATCCATGATGTGTTTTCTTCAAATTCAAATTCTTGAGAGTTGAGCCCCATTAGTCTAATTTGGTATAGGTTCCTACCGCTATGCAGTGGAAGTTTATAGTGTGTTGATAATACATGGAGTAAGAGGGATAATTCCTAAGGGAATTTTTGCTGGAGAGAATTAAGAAAACACTGTAGTCATTACCTATTCTGAATAGGCTTATTATCATGAAAAGTAAAAATCTATAAATGAGATTATATCCACATTAATATTAAAGCCATAAACAATTTAAATTTTCTTTAAATTACTACCAACATTACCTTGGAATGTTTTTGGGAACAAATTTGATTTGTTCGCAATAATCACATGTGTAACTTTTTGAAAATTGATATGAAATGTGTGCACTGCTTAAGTGGGAATCTGTTCTGAGAAAAGTTGTGTTAGATGTTTTCACCATTGTGTGGACATCATAGAGCATTTACAAATCTAGCTGGTGTAGGCCAATCATTTGATGTGGCCTTTTAATGCCATGAGAGAGAGGTATGAGGCTCATGCTAGAGTAACATAGAGATGAGATCATATTTTACAGTAATTTTTTTTTTTTGGTCCGTTAGTGGGGCCTGAACTCGGGGCCTGCGCGCTGTCCCTCAGCTCTTCAGCTCAAGGCTAGCGCTCTACCACTGGAGCCACAGCACCACTTCCGGTTTTTTCTTTTTTGCTTATGTGGTGCTGAGGAATTGAACCCAGGGCCTCATGCATACAAGGCAAGTGCTCTACCATTGAGCCACCTTCCCAGTCCTACAGTAATTTTTTAAACAAATAGGAATATACATTAAAATAGGGGCAGGCCATTTGTTAGGAAATGGAAAGACTTGGAAAAATTATATTCAGTGAAGTAAGCCAGGCCTAAAGAAACATAGGTCCCATGGTTTCCCTTATTTGTAATAACTAGTATGTGTCTGAGACAAGCAGAAAAGGTCAGATAAGTTGATGTTAGGTGAAATGAACCCCAAGATAAGGATTCAAACGTTTTTTTCTTTCTTGCAATTGTTTCTAACATATTTATAAGATGATTTCTTTGTTGCTTTGTATGTCCCTCCCCCACGGTATAACTCCTGCTTTAATTGTATTTGATGTTGGTAAATTTGTGGAGGGGAAGGGCAAAAAAAAATTGTTTAAATAGGGATACAGGTGGACCCATTGCAACAATGAGATGTACAAGATGTTATGTCAAAAAACGAACTTTACAAATTTGGGAGGGGGGGAGAAGGGAAGGGGTGGGAAGGGGAAACAAAGAAGGAGGAAACAATGTTTGATAAGAAATGTACTCATTACCTTACCCATGTAATTGTAACCCCTCTGTACAGTATTTTCACAATAAAAAATTAAAAAATAAAATAAAACAGGGGCAGGAATGGGTACAGTGCTTTTTGATCATGTGCAAAACCCTGGATTTGATTCTTCCCCTCCAATTAAAAAAATTAAAATGGTAGAAGATATAGTATAGTATATAACAAACTAACAACATAGGCATTTATAACCATTACAATTGTATATTGTATAAGATGTATGTGTTGTTTTTACACAGGTGAGAGTGAAGTTGGTTTATTTATAGAAACAGCACCACAAATAGGTAAGCAATACTTCCTACATGAAAGTGGCTTATTAGAGAATCTATGACAATTTTACTGTAAAACTCCTTGTATCACCAGTATATACTAATAAATATGACTTATATAAAGTCAAGTTATGAAAATAAATGGCAATAAAATGATTACTGCATTACTAGGAAACAGCAACCTTTCAGCAGCATTGTAATCTATGAGCCCAGTGATTGGCAAGCCAGCTGTTGTCCAGTGCAAAGCTGTATAGAATTTTTTATTTTGTTTGATATTTCTTTTGTTTTGTTCTTACTTGATTTCCCAAGCTAGTCTTGAACTTTGGGGTTTAAAAACTATTTTTATCTACACCTCCTAGAGAAACTTGGACTACAGACAATTGCCATTTTACCTGGCTTTTACAAAAATTTGAAGAGAAAATCTATTATATGGTTTAGGACACAGATTTTTTTCCCAAGATTTTTAAGCATTTTAAAGTGTGAAAAATATAGGTCATAGCAATCATTATGTATCATTTTTTCTCAGTTTCTAGAAATTTCATGAGCTTAAAGTTTTTGTTGAATTATGACAGGTCCACATACTTTATATCTTCCTGTTACAAGGCTTTTGTGCATTTATCCATCATTAGGTTACAAGTCCCTACATTACAGCCAATTCAAGTCCCCTTTGAACGTAGGAAGTTATAGAGTAAACATAATTATTTCATTAGGTGGATGGGTGAAATAGTTCAATATAGACACCGTTGAAATAGCATGGGGACAGGATATAAAACATTGAACCTGGATTAATATTCTTGCATCTCTAGGTTGATTCTTAACAATGTACTCAGTTATTTCTCTTGAATCCTGTGAGTTGAATAAATGTTACTAACTTCTTAATCTTAAGGAAGTATATGTATTGGAGAATACATAGGCACTTAATAGCATCAACAAGGTGTTTTCCAAGGCCACAACACAGAATTGTGTAGTCAGTAGAAGCTCCATTCTTGGGTGGAAGAGGAAATAAATGTGGTTTGGACAACACATTTGACCTTCAGTGGTCTTATACATGCCTTATACACGAAGCATCTTATTGTGATGGGTTATTTTAGGTGCCAGTTGGAGTGGGTTAACCTAGAAAGCTAGAATTACATTATTTCTGAGTCTGTTTGTAAGGATGTTCCCATAGGTGATTAGCATTTGAATTTATGGTTGAAATAGAAACAATCTGCCCTCAATATTAGGTGGATAAGTGTGGCACCTAATCAACTGAGGACTCAGAATCAAAAGGCAGAGGGAATACATGCCTTCTTTTCCACATCCCAATCCTCTTCTTCCCCTCTCTTTATCTCTTTGTTTAAATATATATTTTCTATTGTAAAGATACTGTACAGAGGGATTACAGTTACATGAGTAAGGTAATGAGTCAATTTCCTATTGAGCATTGTTACCCCCTCCTTTGTTTTTTCCCCTACTATCCCTTCCCTACCCACCTCCCCAACTCCTCCCTCCTCCGCATTAAAGTTGTAAAGTTCGTTTTCAACATAGTGTCTTTTACCTGTCATTGTTACAATGGGTCAACCTGTATCCTTATTTCAACATTTTGGTATTTCCCTTCCCCTCCCCAAATTAGAAAAATGTATATACAAGATGCAGGGCACCGACATCAAATACAATGAAAACAGCGGTTATACCATGGTGGTAGAACATACAAAAGAAACAAAAAAAATCACACAGTACATTATAAGTACATTAAAAACAACAGCAAGAAAGATAAAAACCTCTTGTGTCCCTACTTTGGGGTTCATTTTGCTTAGCACCATCTTATATGATCATATGTACATAGCTTTTGGCTTTTCTACTTGTCCTAGACATATACTAGTTATTGCAAATAAGGGAAACTATGGGACCTATGTTTCTTTGGGCCTGGCTTACTTCATTTAATATATTTTTTTCCAAGTCTTTCCATTTCCTAACAAATGGGGCGATGTCATTCTTTCTGATGGAGACATAGAATTACATTGTGCATATATACCACATTTTCTTGATCCATTGAAGAGGCATCTGGGTTGGTTCCATATCTTAGCTATGGTGAATAATGCTTCAATAAGCATAGTTGGGCTGGTAGCTTTAGTATGGCCTTGTTTGTGATCATTTGGGTAAATGCCCCAAAGTGGAATTTCTGGGTCATAGGGGAGCTCTATGTGGAGTCTTTTGAGGAATCTCCATACTACTTTCCAAAGTGGCTGAACAAGTTTACACTCCCACCAACAATGCAGTGGGCTTCCCATTTGGCTACATTCCCTCCAGCATCTGTTGTTATTAGAGTTCTTGATTATAGACATTCTAACTGGGGTGAGGTGTAATCTCAATGTTTTTTTGATTTGGATTTCTTTTATGGCTACAGAAGTTGAACATTTTTTCATGTGTCTACTGGCCAGTCTTATTTCCTCTTCAGAGAAGATTCTTTTTAAGTCTTTAGCCCACTTATGAATTGGGAGATTGTTTCTTTGAGGATTTGTTGTTGAGGGATTTAATTTTTTGAGTTCTAAGTATATTTTAGATATGAGACCCTTGTCTGTTATATGGCTAGTGAAGATCTTCTTCCAATTGGTGAGCTTTCTATTGATCTTGCTTGCTATGTCCTTTGCCATGCAGAAGTTCTGCAGTTTCATGCAATCCCATTTGTCCAACCTTTCTTTGGTTTGTTGTGTTTCTGAGCCTTTATGAAGAAAATTTTGTCCTGTGCCAAGGAGCCCTAGAGTTTCTTTTTGTAATGTTTTCAGAGTGTCTGCTTTGACTTTGAGGTCTTTGATCAATTTGGATTGATTTTGGTACAGAGTGATAGATAAGAATCTAGCTTTAGTTTTCTAAGATGTTAAGCCAGTTTTGCCATCACCATTTACTGAAGAGGCTGTCTTTCTTCCATTCCAAATTTTGGCTCCCTTATCAAATATTAGGTGGCTATAGGTTTGTGGGTTCATTTCTGGGTCTTCAGTTCTATTCCATTGGTCCTGAAGTCTGTTCTTGTGCCAGTACCAAGCTGTTTTGATTACTATGGCTTTGTAGTAGAGTTTGAAATTTTGTATTGATATTCCTCCAGCACTGTTCTTTCTGCTAAGGATCGTTTTTGCTATTCTGGGTCTCTTATTGTTCCATTTGAATTCTTGGATTGCCTCTTCTATTTCCTTGAAGAATGAGGTTGGGATATTCATAGGTATCACATTGAATTTGTACATAGCCTTTGGCATTATTGCCTTTTGTATGATGTTAATCCTTCCAGGAGCATGGGAGGTTTTCCCACTTCCTTAGTTCTGCTTTAATTTCCTTTTTCAGGTTTTTAAAAGTTTTCATCATAGAGGTTCTTCGCTTCTTTTGTTAACTCCTAGGTATTTTATTATTTGTGGGGCTATTACAAAAAGAGTTGCTTTCCTGATTTCAGCCGCACTCTTCTCATTGTTGACATTCAGAAAAGCCATTGATTTTTGAGGGTTAATTTTATACTGTGCTTCTTTTCCAGAGTTTCAGATCAGCTCGAGTAACTTGGGTGTGGACTCCATGAAGTTCTTTAAATACAAGACCATGTTATCTGCAAAGGAGAGTTTTATTTCATCTTTTCCTATTTGGATCCCTTTTGTTTGCATCTTGTCTTATTGCTCTAGCTAGGCATTCTAATACTAGATTGAAGAGAATGGAGAGAGTGAACATCCTTGTCTTGTTCCTGAATTTAGAGGAAATGGTTTTAGCTTTACCATTAAGTATAATGCTGGCTGTAGGTTTGTCATATACAGCCTTTATTGTATTGAGGAATGTTCCATGGATTCCTAGTTTTTCCAGAACCTTCATCATGAAGGATATTCGATCTTGTCAAATGCTTTTTCTGCATCTATTGAGATAATCATGTGATTCTTATCCTTGATGAATTATATTAATTCATTTGCGTATATTGAACCAGTTTTGCATCCCTGAAAGGAATCCTGTTTGATCACGGTGTATGATTTTTTTTCATTACTTGTCAAGTTGGTTGGTCAAAATATTGAGAAGTTTTGCATTGATGTTCATCAAAGAAATGGTTCTATAGTTCTTTTTCTTTGATGAGTCCTTACCTGGTTTGGGGATGAGGGTTATGATGGCTTCATAGAAAGAGTTTGGCAGTGAACTTTCATGTTCAATTTCATTGAAAAGTTGGAGGAGTATTCATATGTGTTCTGCTTTGAAGGCCTTGTAGAATTCAGCTGTAAATCCATCTGGTCCTGAGCTTTTCTTGGATGGGAGGTCTTGTATTGTTGTTTCTATTTTGATGCTTGATATGGGTTTGTTAAGTTGGATTAAATCATCTTGGTTTAGTGTGGGGATGTTAATATTTGCTAGAAATTCGTCCATTTCTTACCAGATTCCCAAACTTAGTACTTAAAAGTTTGAGAAGTATTCCTTCATAATGTCCTGAATCTTGTTTTTTTTCTGTGGTGGTTTCCATTCTCATCTCTGAGTTTGTTTATTTGGGTGGTTCTCTTCTTTTTCTGAGAAGATTTGCTAAGGGTCTGTTAATTTTGTTGATTTTTTTGAGGAAGCAACTCTTTGTTTTGTTGGTTCTTTTTTTTTTTGGACTGTAAATCATTTAATTATGATTTACTTTTAATGATTTCTTTCCATCTACTGGATTGGGGTTTTGCTTGTTGCTCTTTTTCAAGGAGCTTCAGGTGCCTCATTAAATTGTTTGTTTCAGATCTCTCCAATTCGTTGATGTCGGAACTCAGAAATATAAACTTGCCTCTGAGTATTGCCTTTGTTATGTCACAGAGGAGCTGGTAACTTGTATGTTCATTGTTGTTAATATCATGAACACTTGAATTTCCTTTCTAATCTCTTCCATTGCCCACTGGTGGTTTAACAGTATGTTGTTCAGCCTCCATGTGTTACAGGATTTTCTTTGGTGGCTTTTGGTGATGATTTCTAATTTTATTGCTTTGTGGTCTGAGAGAATGCAGGGCATAATTTCAATGTTTCTGAATTTGGACAAATTTGCTTTGTGACCT